CCGAGTACAGGGGCACGATCACTTCCCTACTCCTGCTGGCCACACTATTCCTGGTACAAGCCAGGATGCCAGTGACCTTCTTGGCCACCTGGGCACACTGCTGGCTCATATTCAGCCGGCTGTCAACCAGTACCCCCAGGTCTTTTTCCACCAGGCAGCTTTGCCTGTAGCACTGCATGGGGTTGTTGTGACCAAAGTGCAGGACCCAGCACTTGGCCTTGTTGAACCTCATACAGTTGGCCTCGGCCCATCAATCGAGAAAATTAACTCCATCCCAGCAGAAACCAGGACAATTGCTTTGACTTTTAATAAAGGACAGAAGATTTCTGCAGTGATGGTGGGAGAGCAAATAGCTTTCTGTCATCTTAGCAACTTACTATGTTTGAGCAAATTCCAGGGATGGGAGGGCTGCTTCGCTGTTGAAGAGCTGTTTATTTTGGCTTATCCTGTCTCTTGAAACCAAACCCTTGTGCTGCAGCCTGAAACCAGTGACACAGTCCCTTCCAGTTGTTGAGAGGCAGGCCTTGCTGCGTCTACCTCCCTGCTCTGCCAGCTTATCAGCCCCCTCAGTTGGTGACCCTTCTTCTACCTCAGCAGATTATCCGCTTCTGCTGTGTTTTTGATGAAGTTAGCTTATAGGTTCAAAGTATATAATGCTGAGATGCAGCAGAAAGAAGGAGGGGCAAAGGGGAATGGGACAGCAGCGATGAGTTATTAGGTCAGCTCAACTACCTTTGTGTTATGGAACTGCAGTCTACGTTCTTGCTTCTGGATATGTATTTGACCTAAGTCTTCAGGTGAGAGTAATTGCTACGTTCTTCGGTTTTTTTGATTTATTTCAGACATCAAGGACTTGAGTTTCAAAAAGCCCTGAAAACAAAGCTGCTTAAAAATACCTCCAGTTGAGTCAGAAACCAGACAAAACAGGCCCAGAACTGTGTTGATTTTGAAAATGTAGGCTTCGAAATTTATTTTATTAATTTCAGTCCTGGTTGGTTATGTTATTCTGGGGCTGTAGGAAGGGAGTTGTGTTGTAAACAAAGTTAAGCATGAAAATGCACTTTTTTCTCTTGTTGTTTCTAGCCTGAAGAATTTGCAGAACAGCCAGAAGATCCATTACCACCTCCGCCGCCGCCGCCGCCGCCGCCACCACCACCACCGCCTCCGCCACCAGCAGCCCCAGTACTACCGCCATCTCCATCAACTCCTTCCTTTCATTTGTCTCAGATAGATGCCAGATTTGTAGATCCTAGTATTGGATTATTGATGCCTCCGCTCCAGACCCCTAGCAATCTTGCTGTTTTTTGTGACCACAACTATACCGTAGAGGATACAGTTCATCAGCGAAAAAGAATTCAGCAGCTGGAGGAACAAGTTGAAAAACTGCGGAAGAAGCTCAAGACAGCGCAACAGCGATGCCGGCGTCAAGAAAGACAAATTGAAAAACTGAGAGAGATCGTTCAGTTTCAGAAAGAAAAGGACATATTGGCAGGAAAAGGCTATGTGATTCTGCCCAATGACTATTTTGAAGTTGTAGAAGTACCTGCCTAGAAGTCACAAACACCAGTTTTCACTTTGCTAGGCCAAGAAATTTAGTTTAAAAACTAAATGCTCTCTAATTCTGTGTGTGAGACTCTCCGGAATTCTAAAACAGTAAATAAGCAGTCACACAAATAAGATCACATTTTTTCTTCATTGCCATTTCGGTTTGATACCCTTTTAATACATTGAAAATGCAAGCATCTCAGAATTAGAATATGCATTTAGTTTACAAAACCTGAATTGCTTTACAAAAGGAAAGGATGCAAGGTTTAATACATTTAAAATCAATTTTTTACAATGGCTGTCTTATGCTGACAGGGGATGGGGAACTGAATCTGGCTGAGAGTGAAGCTGAGGTTGTTGTACACTTAGTGCAAAACTTTGTTAAGGCATTTAACGTTCGCTTTGGTGATCCCCAGGAAGTAGTTTTCACTGATTTCAGGAGGAGCAGATTTAGGCCAGCTAAGAACGCCTGCAAGTGCTGCAGAAAGGTAGAGAAAAATAAGATACACATTTCAGCCTGGGAAAACTTCCAACCTCAGTTTGCTATGCCTTCAAAGCACTGCAAAAAGTCTAATTCCTGGATCCCTTTGTTTTGAAGGCACTTAAAAATACTCCTGAAGTGCAGTGCTGCACTGAACATACACGTTATGGGACTGTTGGCAGGGTCAAGAAGGCAGCGGGCTGTTTAGGGCGACTGCTTTTGAGAAGTACCCTGGTAACATACAGTCCCCAATATGTTGGAGCGTGGTGTTCCCATAGGCGCTGTAACGGGTAGAATGTTGTCCTTGTCTTTGAATTTGTTGATGTTAACCCACATCTCAACCATGTGTAGCTTCAGGAAATGAAGAAATTTTGAAGTTTTTTTACTTTACTTCTCCAGGGTGTCATGCATTTGTGACTTTTCAGTGCCGTATACTGTGATTTTCTTTTTTTTGTTTGTTTGTTTTGTTTTGTTTGGTTTGTTTTTTTGGTTTGTTTGGGGTTTTTTCTTCCTGAAAGGTATCCACCAAAGGGCAGTTACGGAATTAGACTTTGGGAGTTGCTTGGTGCTAGACTGGTTTTTAATATCTCAAATGCTGCTGCCTCTCCTTCAGCCTTATTAAGACTCTTTCTAAACATGAATTTAGCATGACAAAGTAGTGCAGTGGTTTGCACTTACTCTCTAATCATTTGTTTAGTCAATGAACTCATTCAAAATCCAAGAAAATGGCATCATGCTAACCTTATTGTAGCCTTCACAGCTGAGATTCCCGCACATACTAGATGTGAAGAAAATTACTTTTCTCAGTCCATGTCAAACTTGTGTGTAGTGTGGATTCTAGCTCTGATGTTAATCAAGCTCTGTTCTTGATGGCTCTAAAAGCTTCCCTTAACATCCTGTTAGCATGACATTTTGAAATGTTTTGAACCAGTCTTGATACTTCTGACCTCACTCATGCCATGCATCTATTTTCCCTACCATTTCATATACTTAAGATGAACAAAAATGCTGATGCATCCTTTTGTGTACATTTATTATACCTGATTAAAAATACAAAGCAAACGGTGTGTTAGATTTTTAACTGCTCGCTCTCCTCTTTTCCCAGGACTTTGCCAAAACTTGCTTGACATTTTGGTTTTTTTTTTTTGTTTTTTTTTTTTTTTCCTAAAGTAGCTCCCCGGTTTAGATGCTGAGTTTTTCTCACAGTGTTACCAAGTCTTGTTGCTGTTGCGCTCTATACTTAAAATAAACTTAAAAATGCTCAAATGCAAAAAGTGGCAAGGAAAAGACGTTTAAAACGACTGTTGCTATGCTGTTGGCGTGTGTGGCCAGATAGCAGATTGTTTCTGTTTTCTCTGCAGAATACCCTCTCTCTCTTCTTACTCTCCGGGGATTTGAAGTGTGACTTGCTGTGGCACAGTGGGTTGCTGCAATACCGGGCCCCTGTGGTTGGGGTGCTCCTGCCACCCCCCTTCTCCCCCTGCCTTTTGGCTGTGCGTTGCCATTACCATCCTTCCGATGGGCACCCGTTCTGCTGCTGGCTGCGCCCATCTGTGGACTACGGCAGTAGGTTTGGCTCCTAGTGGAGAGGCAGAGGAAGACCAACAGTATTGGATCTGATTGGAGAAGAAGGCAGGGCCAGGAGCTGGGGATGAGAAGAAGTAAGTCCTCTCCTCTGGCTACCATGAGCCGTTGTATTACATCAGCTGCTTCTGAAAATGTCAAGGTAAGTTCATACTCTTCATGTTCAGCGCTCTTTCCTTCCACCCTGGCCAAAGATTCCTTGTCTCCCGCAACCTGACACTCTAGCTGCTGTGTTTGGCGGGGCCTTCCTTCAAGTATTTTGGCTTCATAACCCTCCAGAAAAGCAGCCCAGCAAAAGTAAGTCAGCAAGGTAAATTTAAGGCACGCTGATAGGTGGCTGGTGCGTAGAGTTCTCGTGTGTTTAAGCTTTTCATGTTGGTGAAGTTGGTTTAATGGCTGACTCAGGTACGTGTTCCTTCCATTGAGAGGGGTGATGAGGGTTTCAGCAGCACCAGGCCGAAGAGGGGACTGCTGCCCGCTTGCTGACACTTTCCTGTTATCCAAGGACTTTTCTAAGAAGAGATGCAGTCCGTTCTGACAACGGGCTTGAATTCCTCCTGCAGCAACTCTCTTTTTTTCTTTTCCCCTTTAAGAAAACCCCTCCCTAGTTCCTGATGCAGTGATGCTGGGGCCAGCTGTGGACACTGCTAGGCCTGTGAATACTGCGGGGCTCTGAAGGGGAGCGGGGCTGGGGGAAAGGCTGGCACAGAAACGACAGAAAACTGTCTGTCAGTAGTTAGCTTTTCCCGCACTGCACTGCCATCTCCCTGACTGATAGCAATATAGAAAGAGAAGATGAAGGCTACCTGCTACGGGCTGGGCTAGGAAAGGAATTCTAGCTTTTCGTGTAAAATTAATAAGTGCAACATATTCCCCAGGTGTTTGTTAAAATTTCCTCTTTTTTTTTTTTTTTTTTTTTTTTTTTCCCCAAGTAGGATCTGTAACATCGACACAACCAGTGGCACAAAAGGGCTGCATCACTCCCTGTTTGTATTGGCCACAACTGGTACCTGCACACAGCAGCGATTCCGTAAACGTCTCTGAAAAAAAGTGGCTGGGAGTTAGAAAAGCAGAGGTGGGAATGTAGAATGGCATGTGGCTGTCCAGTTGCACATGAAGTGGCTGAGATTTGCTTAAATGCACGTAACTGCACTTCGCTGGAGCCTGTTTTACAAAGCAAACAATTCAAGGAAGTTAGAAAGTAGCAAAACTGGCAAAAATCCTCCATTCTTAAAATCTGGACAGAGAGATTTGTTTTGAAATGGGCTGATGCTTCAACAGGCAGAAATTAGAGCCGCTTCTAAAAAGGGAAGTGTTGGTTTACTTCCCCCTCTTGCCTCAATTTCCCTTTTGCCGTGGTAGGCTACCTGACCTGCGTGCGGCGTTTACTTTTTTTCCTCCTTACACCTCTGCAAAGTATCAGATTTCCCTGTCTAACCGGGACAGTTCCCAACCCAGAGGTATGTTTTATGGGGAAAAGATGAATAGCCGAAGCCTTGGATTACCGCTTGTGGCACCGAGGGAGCCCTTCATCACTGCCCTTTTTTCTCCTCTGCTTGCAGCTGCCATCTTGCCTACCTTGTTGCTAGCGTGGTCTTAACAACGGTGGCACCTAATTAATGAAACTGAGGTTTCCAAGAAATCTCTGTCTTGCTGGGCTTTCATTCTCCTCCAGCCCTACACAGGGTTTAGGGTACAGGTGCCCTGTGTGAATTCTGAAGGAGTTCTCTTGCAGCTGAAGAAAGCGCAAAGCAAATCCCAGTCTGAATGCAGGAAGAAGGAAAGCCAAGTGGTTGCTTGGGTAAAACTAAAACCACAACAGTTTCTAAGTCTGTTTCAAAAGACTTCTCCTATTACACTCTTCTCTGGAACCAAGCGGTTATTCCTAGTTGCGCTTTTGCTTTGTTTCTTTCCCAAGATCTGTTTTAGGTTTTAGTCTATAGGCTTATCTGTTTCCTGTCAGCTTACACCTTCATCGGGTGGCTTTGGCAGGGTGGAAAGGGGTGTTTTGTGCTATTGTCTAATTTTAACCACCAAAACACGATCTGCCAAAGCACGCTGATGCTTACAGGCTGTCATGACTGTAAGTTCAGGTCTGTAGCTCCCGCTATTTTAAGCACAGCAGGTTATTTGCCATACTTTGGCCATGATAAGGATTTATTAATAAATTGAGAAAGAGCAAAACAGGATACATGATTCAAAAATATGATGGTGACAGTAATTGCTGTTACAGATTTCTCTTTCTGCCTGTTCAATGCTTTCAATGGAAATTTTATCTTGTGGAGATCTTTCGACAGAACTGCAGCATTTTATTGTGCAAATTGGGCAGAAGGCCTTACAGTGTTGTACAGACTAGAAGGAGTTTAAAAGTGTGCAGAAAAAATGTGTTGCAAAGTTGTTGTTTAATCCACTACGAATAACCCGAAACAGTTGCCAAAGGAAACTCACCTTAAATATTCTTGAGTGAAAGAAAACATTTAAATCAGTTACTCAGAAGGAAATTTTCAAGAACCTCTCTTGAGACTAGATGCATTACATTGTCATAATTAAATCATTGCAATAATTAAATCTCTCCACAGTCCTGCCCCTTAGTTCGTTTAGCACTGAGTATCAAGCCTTTTATTGCCTGTCATGCAAAGTGATCTAGCAATCCTCCTGTAGCTGCCTCCTCCCATTGTACAGGGAAAATAAGATTGTAAGGCCTGGGCTCACACATTTGTGGAACTGCTGAAAAAGTGATTGTCCGCTGCATCTTAATTAGGTCTAGTAGTCTATTAAAAGGTCTTTTAGTTAGGGAGGAGCATGGAGAAATGCCATGAGGCTAGTTGTGTGGTATTTTTTTTTTAACTCGGGGAGGACTTGAGCAAATTAAGCAGGCTTCTCATTTCCTTTCAGGTTTCATTGGATGTGGCTATTAAAGGTTTGGGGTCTGTGCCTATTAAAGGTTTAGGGTCTGTGGCTATACTAGTCATCTACAGATGAGCCAACTCCAGTATTTGAGTCTGTGAAAGACGTGTGATTTCCTGCCCCCCAGCCAGAGTCCAATAATCTCTAAGCAGGTTCTCACAGATGTACCCCAGGACTTTGATTCAGCAGAGCGGTACAGCAATATGCCGAAATTGCAGCACAAGCACAGTATAGCAATTGCACTAGACAGCGGAATCACAATACAAACGTATGGTACAAATTCCCATTACGGGTCCCTCAGTGCTTGCCATCATGACACTGTGTGTCCCCAGCTGCCGGGAAGGAATATGTGTGTTAAACCCAGCTCAAGCCAGTTGCTCTCTTCCAAGCTGATTTTGTGAGTTGTTTGGTTTTTACACTTTATATTGGGCTGAGTCACATACAGGCTCCCCTCCCACGATGGTCTGGATAGCTCAGGAAAATATAGCTCTCAGCTAATTATTTCAGGGAAGGTGGTTTATGCACTCTGATGACTGGGTGATAACAGCCATACACCTAAAACAAAGGTTACCATTCAGTCCCCCTTGTGTTGGATAACTTCAGCTTTCTTTATGACAATCTGTCGTTATTCCTTAAATTCTTCCCTGAGCTCATCATTCTTGCCCATCTCCTCTGGGCCTTCTCCCATCGCAGGGGTCAGTCACATATCCCCACACCGTCCCTTTGCAGGAGTGTCCTCACACATGTCTCTTGCAGGTGAAAAAATGAACTTTTGGGGCTTCGGGTGCTTTACAGTCTCGACCCATGGCTCGGAAAGGAAGGAATTTTCAGAGGTGGTACTTTTTTGTGTTAAGAGGAAGGCATCTCTTGTTCTGGGCTAAAGAAATCCCAAGACTTCCACCTACACTTGGTTTAGGATAATAACCACAGCAGCTGGCTCTGCAGAGATGGAAACTTCAGGATACCTGCTTTCACAGCTCAGTCCAGAGTTCTTGCTCTTTTTTTGTGGCTTTTTTTTTCCCTTTTCTTCTTCTTTCCTTGTATTGATAGGATCAGACTGTTAATTCACCAATTTACTGATGCGGATGCTGTCGGGTCCAGAGGAACGGCACCTGCATGCAAAGAAAGTCTAAATGGAGATGGAGTTGTACCCAAGCTGGCTGCGAGGCACCAAGGTGGAGGGTTCTGCTCTTGCTAGAGCACACACCACGTGAGCTCAGGCCACGGAGGCTGGCCTGGCTGATAAATGGTTCCATTTCTAATATTTTAAGCTTGATCTGCACTTGCAGACTTGTCTCATAGGTGCCTGAGCTGATATGGTGCTTTATGAAGGGGTTTTGTGGTGGTGGTTTATCTGAGGGAGGCCAGGAGTAACTGCCAGACGAACGAACATTTTTGGTGTTATGTCCAAGGACTGAAAAAGAATTTATTTATCAATAACTTCAAATTCTGTAGTCTGTATGTACATTCAGTTCTGATCTTCACTTCTCTCTTTCTGAGTTCAGATGGGAAAATCTTTTTCTGTTTTCTTTTCTTTGACTGAGAAGGGACTGACATTGCTCAGAGCTTTTTTTATGTGTCCAGCATGGCGAAGAACTGGGCAGGTACTGCACTACAGCATGGGCATCTCC